TCTTGAGTGGTCCCTACACAGGTCAAACAGACAAAAAATCTGGTTTTGTGTGACCTGTAAAGAAGGAAATAAAGATACTTAACACCTCTTTGACAGTATGAGTCAATGTCATATAAAATTAGAAAAGCAGAAGTTGGAAGGAAGAGGAAACAAATATTTAAGTCTAAAAAAGGGGGGGTTACTGAACAGAGGCTGTTATACTGAAGTGATTTTAAGAATACACTTTAAAAAAAAACCATAAAAACACAAATAAAAGATTGGGTTGAACTGGAAATCAACTTAAGCATTTGGGGAATTTCTTCCTTGTCTTCAAATAACAGCTATCAATTGTCAACTTTACCACAATATAATCTAATTTTCTGAAAAAAAGCATTATTAACAGGTACAATTTTCTTTGGTACAATTTTCTGATAACTCTGTGAACTAAGATGGATACAAAAATGATAGGAAAAACATATTGATTAAAAAACACTTGATAAAAGTGTATAATTTTGTTAGTTTCTCCCAGCCAAACCCCCTGCAAAATGTTTGTGTCCAACAGCTAGTTCAGATTTTATTTGGGGGGGTGAAGGGGGAACAGTCATTAGAAATCTTACTAGACAATGAAATTACTGAAATCTGTGAAAACCAACTGAATAGTAATGACAGATATGTTTTTTATAAAGTAAGAAAGAAAAGTTATGGAGGAAAGCTTTTGTTTGCGTATGGCAGATGTATTCAACCTCCAATACTTGAGTCAGCAGTTTCAAGAGAACGACGCAAGAAAATAGAAGAAATATAGTCTTTCTTTTTTCTTTGTTCTGGTATTTGCAATATTTCAAATTTCTTAAAGTCATTAATATTTTTATGGATCTGCATAGCAAAATGAGGAAAACCTTATGCATTATGTTCATGGATGTAGCTTAGAATAATAACAGCGAAGCTGTTGGATATACAGTTTTGAAACAGTACATTTAAGCTAGGGGAATCAGACAATAATTTTATTCTCTCTTGTTTTCTTGTGGGTATTTTGCATGCTAGCTCCATTACTTTAATGTAATGTAATTTGCTGTGGTTCAAATGATTAATTACTATTACTGTAAGTTCTGCTAGATCAAGCTAATGAACATTCAGCACAATTTCCTGTCACTTCTCATCCCAGCTCAGTCCCCTCATCCCCACATAAAACACACCTCCAGTAAAAATAAAAGCACACAGAATAGAACCATAGGACTGGCTATGTTTGTTAACTATCACATTAAAAGTATCCTTTCAAGTAACACATGTTCAAAACCACTTAAATATACTTAAAGCAAGTTGTGATTCTCCAACGTTTATACACACACATTTGCCATTGTAAATCTTTACTGTGGCAATGATGAGATAATTCTTCTATTTACCTGTACATGTGCATTTTATATTATTTAGTAAAGGACAGATCAACAGCTTGAATAAAGCATAATTCTAAATAAAGAAAATGTTTAAAAACCATTAATATCATTTTAAAAGGTATTTGAGTCTTCTCTTTTGGCCTCTGTTTAGCTGTGCTAGGCCTGTGAATGACAGCTTCCCTGCTTGAAGCATACAGAAAGCACAGCCTTCCTCATTCACTGTCAGTACTATGGCCTTTTCACACGTTCCCTCCACAGCAGTGTTTGTCCCCAAACACTGGAACCCAGCACAATGGCATTCCTACTTCAACACCCCCACCAACAGCACCACTACATATGAAGAATGCTAATGAGATGGACATCCCCCATCTCTGAAAGTGTTAACTATATCCCATACTATCAGATATAATGGTATTTCTATTGTTATGTGTTACATCTCACTCAAAAGCAATTTCATTTTGGCGATGCTTCTTTCTAAAAACATTTTTAATGGAAGCTATAGTAGCTTGACGAAAAGATTAAAAAACATCTTACATGCACTCACCCAATTGCGTTCATTATATATATAGTGAACTGATTTTAACCTTCAGATACATTTGTGGATCTCAGAAATTCCAACAGACACCAAAACAGCATGTTTAACATAGCAAGGCAAAAGGCTAACATATGAAATACGAATAGCAGAATAATTCTAACAGTACTGTTGTTTAAATCTTACTTTTTTGTTAGAAAACTGTATTTTACAGTCCCAGAATTCATGGCATTAAAATGTCAATATAAGCTTTGTCAAGAGTTTAGTGAAGCTTATAGCTCATTATACAGATATGTAATTGCAATTAGAAAGAGTTTAAGGGGAAAAAATAGAAGGCTTTTGTACTATAGTGTCTATAAACATATATTTTCTTTCTTTCTTTCTCTTTTATTTAGAGAAAAGCACAAACAGGTTCAAGTACTCTCTCAGTTTTACCTGTTTTACTTCACCTATATCATTCTCAAGGAATACTATTTGAAGAATATGGATTATCCTCTTCAGAAGGATACAAAGACTACACCAAAGAGGTGGTAGCTCCTCACTGTTTTCTTCCGCTGGGGCAAGAAGCAACAGAGTGATTATAAAGAAGACACTGTGCAACCAGTGCACAGTGTGGACCAGAAACTATGTATCGTTTTAATTCAATACATGCATTTTAAACTGAAGTTCAGATGGATTTTAATAGAAGTACAAGTATCAGCATATTATTAGTTGTATGTGCTATTTGATTTCAATGGACAGACTATAGTGTCTTAGCAGAGTAATACCGAATCAAAGAATTTCCCCTTTTTTTTTTTTTTACTTCTATTCCCTTTTTATTTAAATGAAAAGACAAAGTAAATACAAATAATTCAAGTGTCAAAATAACACTGAGATAAATAGAAATCAAGAAAATATATTTAATGTCAAGTAAGGGCTAGATGTTATATCGGTATGAATATCAGTATGCAGTCATCATAGCATTATGTTGTCAGGCCTTAGCACAACAGGACAAAGTGATAGTATTTTGATTTAATGTCCCGGTTCTTTATTAGCATGCTTCCTAATCTTGTATCTCTATCATATCACAATGTGCTCTTTACAAAACAAACTTGGTTTAGTTATTTAGAAAAAAAAAGGTCAACATAAGTAAAATACAGTAAGATTATAGTAAGAAGTATTGTTATACCTACAGTGTAACATAACCTACAGTTATTATAATTATTTCATTCATGTTCAGTGCTAACACAAGTTCAGTTAGAAAATGCTTGGAAAAATTAACAGACACTTTAAGCTGAATTATATGTCATATCTTATCTTTGAAGTAATATAATTCAAAATAACACAAGCTTTCAGCACATTAACTGCACAAAACGTTTAACATCCTTGTGCTGTAAAATTTTCATTTTAGCACTTAAACCAGTTTGAAATGTTTATTAAAATATTTTAATAGTAAGTTTTTGGTAGACAAGTAACTGTCATAGCTGTACTGACATTTATCCTCATAATCTGGGCTCTTAAAAGTTAAAAATGTCCTAGATGGTTATACTGACAATATGTCTATATGCAAGCCTTTCATTATAAAGAGCCATTTGTCTTCAGAAGCGATTTCAAATCTACTAAAATTATTATCTTTTCCTTGTCATTTACAATTTCCAACTGAACACTGCTGATAATCACCAGAGGAATGATTAACGTAAGTTAATTCACTGAAATGTCTTTATATGTTCTTTACAGAGAAGAGTAAAGAGTGCCAACAAATGACTTGCATATGAATTTTTATTTAGAAACTCCATTGTCTGTTTTGTTCTACTAATTACCATTATACTTACTAAATACTTGCATGCATTTTATATATATTTTTTTTTTAAGAGAGTAAATATTATATGTTAAGGCACTGAAAAGTAATAGATTTAATTTCTGTGGCTTTTGTGAGAGGCAGCATTGTCTTAAAATTGAAGAATTACCAGCAAAAAGTGTAAAGATATTTCTCACTTTTTAATATATCACTATACGTTTGAAACAAGCTTTTCTTTTTTTTTTCTTTTCTGCTTGTTTCTCCCTCACACACGCTCTCTCGGTTTTGTTTTTGTTTTTGTTTGATTTCTTCTTGCTGACCACTATTAGCTCTAGACAGGAATAGTCTCTTCAGAAGTCAATTCTCATTTCTCTGTATGGATCTGACAGCAGGAGGTGCTGTATAAACACTGTGACTGACACTTGGCTTGCACCTCTCCTCCCCCTTCCTCCATAGCCTGGTAGCTTGATCTATCTGACGCAGTCATTCTTAACACGGGGGCCTTAGATCATTTTTAAATCTGAGGTTCCTACCCAGTTGTTTAATTTCTATAGCATACTTTTCCTGGAAAATCTATATGTCTACTATTTTTATAAAGTACTCACCTAATCCTTAAAAATACGTACGTTCTCACACACACACAAATGAACTTCAGTAACTATGCTGAACAAGATCACTATTTTTTTAACTTATATTTCCTAAAATTAAACACCTGATTAATAACAAAAAAAAAATCATCTTATTGTTCTCAAACTTTCAAACAGTATATTCAGTGTCTGTTTTCTACAATTTTTTCAAATTAAAACGCATGTCTAGTGTATTTATTTAATGGTATATGTATAGTAATTAAAATATTGAGGTTTTAAAATATTATACATTTATTTAATTTCTCATAATGCAACACCAGTTATACTTAGAAGTGTTTTATTTATTTATTCAAAAAATGTTTCAACTAAATACTTATTTAAATTAGTTTTATGGGGAGATCTATGACACCATTAAAAACTGCATGTGCAGAACAAGCAATGAAAAATGATTGCTTTAGAGAGTTTCCACAGAAGGAACATCACAGCTAGGCACAGTATGCAGCAGAAAAGATGAGACATATGACATCCCACACCAAAAGAGAGACACAATTAACTCCTTTATTGTTGGCTTTGCAATTATAGGAGAAGCATTTCATTTTCCTAACGGGCACTGCAGCTTCTGCAATATATGTCACACTTCTTTATGACACAGTGCCAGTCATTGGTTTTATACAATTAGTACATTTGAAAATGAAAACAAAAAAAGCAGACTTTTAAAGAGTGGGACAACTCACCTGCTTGCAACAGTTTGCAGACCGTAATCGTTGGTGCAGGGCCAATAGAACTCCTTGGACATAAATCTTTGCTCCTGAGAGGCTGAAACCTTCTCTCTTAAAGACCCAAACAGGTCCACACAAAAGTGTGATGGAATTTTGCAGGCATCTGTCAAGCAGAGGAGCTATGCAAAGAAAAGAAGAAAAAGGAAAAAAAAAAGAAAATGCATTCTTTTGACCCAACTGAAATATACAGCCTCTAACGCAGCCTCAGCATCAGAACTAACTCTTAATATCTATTATTTATATCTGACCTGGGTTAAGTCTTGGAAAAGCAACTCCTGCATTTCTAGTGGCCACCATGAAGGACGTATTTATATTGAGACACCCCCCATGAAAGACTCATAAGCTTCGTGAGCACACCTGAATAGTTCTGAAGTGTGCCTAACTAGCTGCACGGAGTGTCATGGTGTGCACTGATTGCCTTATCTTCTCATTTATCACAGATGAGTTGGAACCAACCTTGCTGAAATCTACTTGCATTGTCCTGATAAAATTGCAAGATCCATGTTGTTTCTGTATACAGTTTCCTGTTGAGGAGCTTACACATACCTACCATATTAGAAATGGTAACATTCATAAAATATAATCAACACTCTCATAAGCCATTTTATTATAAACCCCTCATTGCCACTACTCAAAAAACAACTTCTAACAAATAAAAATGCTCCGTGTAGCTGTTTAATAACAAGGAAAGGTCAAATGAAAAGATAGATAAAATTGATTAATGATGATGGTCTCAACAAGATCTTTTTCTTGCTGTTCCTAGATTTCAAATCACTGTAAAGGTTGCAAGCATTCTCTCGAAGGGACCTATGTCAATATGTGTGACAAATAAGGAATGATGATTTTGGCTTCAGGCATTACTCGGATGCACGTGCTTTGCAGATATTTTTGTGTAACGCATACGTGGGCCTTTCTTATATGACAAAATAAAATAGCGGCAAGTAGCATTTCATGCTTTTACCTGATATTGGGGAAGGGAAGGGAAGGGAAGGGAAGGGAACCACCAAAATATATTTTTACTAGTAATATACAAGAAAATACAAAAAAAACCCAATAAATCATATAAAGCATATTTGTGAACTATGCAAATAAAATTATATACATAATTTTCCCATCCAGTCAATCTATGATCATAAAGATTCATATTTGCCATATAGATATGAATGGTGGATTTCCTAGGTACATAACTACAATCAAAGAACTACAGGTTTTGTCAGACAAAATACCTGTGGATGAATTATACTTTACATATTTTATTGAGAATAGGAGACAAACATTCCATTCAGATGTAGCAAATATTTAACCTCAATAGCTGTTCACTCAGCTGTGAGAACAGAGTCTGAACTAAGACCTTAGTTAAGAAACTTTCATATGTGAGTTCTTTTATAACTGGTGACATTCGGACAAATACAGAAGGAATATATCATACAGTTAAATCCATCTTCAAAGATAAACATGCAACAGATTGTACTTTGCCTCTGCTAAAGTCAGTGTATTTTATGAATTATTTAAGCACACAGTTAAGCAAAACTGTGTGTTTATTTTTGTGAAAGGCATTACTTTTTAAAAAAATCATGTTAAAATCCAAGTCTTCTGACTTCCACAATTTTGTGATATAATCTTATCATCCGGTCAGTAGTTTTATGTATTCTCACATAAATAGTCCTGAGAGCTTCCATATGGTATGCTTACTTCTCCAGCAAATATCCTTGCACCTACTTCCATTCTGCATACTTTGCATAAAATGCCTTTTCTGAATTAGTTGGCAAAGCCATTAAAATTCAGTTACTTAAACTCCATTGAAGTTGCAACGTTGCTGTGGTATTTACTGGACTGTACAATCTCAGTTCAGCCAAATAACACAAATACAAGAATAAATAGAAGCACTACAAAAGTTCTGTTTCGATCTAAAGGATATCTATATGATTAACAAAATCCATTTAGGTAATCTCTTGAATGAAAACCTATCACACGTTTCTTCCCAAGTAATTTAGAATTGTCTGTAAGTCTCACATGTACTCTGTCTTTGTTACAGAAGTGGAAAATGGTATGCAGAAGCTTGTATAAATGACAAGTGGGGAGAGAAGCAACATAAGATGATCTGTGGAAAGATGCATACATGGGTTCAATGCTCTGCTGGGACTTAAGAAAAGAAAATGAGCTGAAACCCTGTCCATACTTAAGTTTATGATAAAAATCCCATTTATCTAAAGGGAGACCAGACTCCACAAAATAAGGCTAATGGGGATTCAGTGAACGAGGTTAACAGGCATATTCATCTACTCTCATTGATTATCCTAAAAAATAATACTGCAAAACTTTTTCAAAATATACCATCAAAGTAAAGACTCCAAACCAGAATGCATACTATATAGCATTAAATACTTGCTTTTAAAACCCTATTGGTCAGGATATGGCCATGCAATTGAACATAAGCAAAAATGATTTCAAGATGACAATCAGTGAATTAATAAATTTACAGACTATTCTAATAATGCGTTTACTCCTTAATATTGGAATCAGACATAAAATTAAGAGGATTAGATGAGATAATGAATGAGGACTGATCAGGAGCACTGGCAGGAGGAATTTACTTCAGGACTAAGTAGGCAGCATCAGAATTAAATCTATGTTTCATGTTATGTGATGAGGAGTGTTTATAGTCACACTTAGTTCAAATGAAATAAAAGGATGAAAATCTGATCCCAGTGAAGTCTCTGGAAGTTTTACAAACAACTTAAGTGAATAAGGTTTTTTACTCAGTGCTTTTCACTTAGTTACCTTAGTTAACTTAGTTAACTTAGTAAGAAAAAGATTACAAACAGAAATGAAGATAAACACAAGTAGTGCTGCATTCTGAGTGTGCAAGCAGACTGAAACACAGCTGCAAGAAAATGTGTGTATACTGGAATTGGATGTTACATTTGAACACTAGTTATAATAGTACTCAATATTTTACCAAAAATAATTTTAACACCAGTATAATGTGGCTGTGGTGATACACCTTCTTTGAAGGTAGTGATCTTCAGAAGTAGAGAGGGGAGAGTTCCAGGACCTGCTGGGATAGCTCGGAAGTGAAAAGATCCACAGTGTCACCTCTTTCAGACATGCCTAAGACCCAAATTAGTCAGTCACAGTGAGTATCAGACCCAAATAATTCTCTGTTAGCAATAATCATTTCCATAAACGTCAGCTGATTCTATCCATAACGGTATTTGCTCTATTCCATACTTAACCTTTTGTTTCCAGATTTATAGTCACTGAAGTACAAAACCATGTGTCCCTAGAAAGGGAAAGGAATAAAGATAGAACAGGCAGTCATTTCAGAAGATTATACTTTTACTGAAATATTCCAAAAGTTTATTGCTCTCGGTATCTGGTTGGTGATTCCAGAAGATATCCTTAGCACTCTAGATAAAAAATTCACTGTTGCTCAAAAATTATTCCTAGTTTAGGAATGTACACATTGTTCTCATTTGGAACTGATGTAGGTATGCAAGAATAATAATTTTCAATGAACGGCTAGCTACTTCCAGACTTCTGGCTATTTTGGTGACTTACCTAAAACAAAGAATGTATTAGTCTGAAGGAATACCCTTTTGAAAAGTAAGAGTATCACTAAGTCCATAAAATGTCTCCCAACTCCACTAGAGTGCTTCGATATCATGATTTCATACAGATCAGCATCTACAAAGCAAGGTGAAAAGAATCTACAGGCAAAATTTCCCAAAGATTTGCAAGTCTATTGTCAAGTGTTGCATTGTCCCTTCAACATTATAGCTGATCAAACATTACAAACATTGAACTATGAAGCAGGACTATGAAGGTCAATAACAGTGTGTTAACCATAGCAAAAGAAGGCAAAGGATAACCCTTGGAAAGAAAGTGCATGAGCTAACTACTAAGGTTTAGGAACAACTCATCATGATGTATGTCTCTCAGGAGGTTAGAGATTTTATTATGAGGTACACATGGAATTCCTGAGAGGGAGCGATGACAAATGAGTCTTTGATCAAAAAGTGAAATAAATTTTAAAGGAAGGAAACTTCCCATCAAGGGAACATATTTTAAATGATAGAGAAAATCCCTTTTCTTTATAGTTTTTATGCAGAATTTAAAATATTGCATTAGAACCCATCTGCATTTTTTCTTTTTTAATTGAATAAATTTTCTCATTGCAGCAGTCTTAGCTGCTAGATATTCAGCCATGGATAAAAGGAGAGTACTCAACGATCCTTCCTCCTCAGCTAAGATGAACAGTGTAAATATACCTTTAGTGCTTTTATTCTCTCCCTCATTGATTTTTTTTTACTGTATATCACATGACAAACATTGAATTTCATTGAAGGAAATAATTGTTTTACAGTGTAATTTTACACTCCTCTGTAGAACAGAGATGAGAAATTTTCCCTAAAACAAAACCCAGAGATTTTAAATTGATGGAGATAATGGCATGAAGCCACTGTGGCAAACAGGAGAGAAAAATCTGCTTTTTTCTTTGTCTTGTCTTGAAACTTGCTGGAAATGGTAAGAGTGCAGTGTTGATCAAATGGAGTGACAGAAAGCATGAAAGCCAAAGCCCAGCAGGATATCCACAAAAAGTAAGCAGAACATTTGTAAAGGAATGGGAAAATCACCCTCTGGCAATTTGCAGTCATCACAAGAGGACTGAAAAAAAACCCCAAAACCCAAAAAACCAAATCCCCCAAAATTCAGTTTGTTAACTTTTTTCTCTCTTAAACTCATTCCATTGTCGGAGCACAAACATTAGTATTATGCTGAGTTCTCTTCCGCATCAATTTATCTTAGTAAATAACCTACATAACAGTAAAAGTATTTTTTTAATACATAATGGTGTCAGAATAACAGGAAAGAAATCATTAACCTTCTTTCCGCTATGGGAAAAAAAGTATCTTTCAAGATGATCAAAATACTAGAAATTCTTTTTACGCTTCCTCAGGACAAGGCTTTTCCTGAGGGTCCTTTCAAAATGTACTGTACAGTGTATATATATTACACAGAGGGCATGAGATTGTGCTAGCATGCACTGTACTTCACTGTTTCTTATTTTTAGCAAACACCACGCAACTCTCTGTCCAGGGCAACTGGCATATACTAT